TAATCTTGTTTGGTTCCACAGATGTCCGGAGGGGGTCCAATATCCCACCATTTTCCATTCCACTGTCTATCATCCCATCATGGAAAGAGCAAATGACAGAAATAAACTTTGCAGGGTATCCGAAGTCTCCAGAATCCTTCACAAAAACCTTAGCCAAGTCAACAAATATCATATAGAGGCCACGCTTTTACTCCCAGCACTTTTCCTGGAGCTTTGTAGCTGATGTGCTACAAAGATCATGTCTATAGAGTCCTGTCTAGATTGAATTTCACATTGAGACTCAGGGAGGACAGTTTCCGTAAGACAGACTTAATACCTATTCAATATGACCCATGCAAGAATTTTCCCAGCAACAGAGAGTTGGGAAATGCTGTGGTGATTATTACAGTTTGCTTTATCACCCATACATTTATAGAGGAGAACAATGTTGGCATCCTTGAAATCCTGTGGCACTGACTCTTGCTCTCAGATAATGGAGATGAGTCAGGTGAGGTGCCTTGTGGTGTGGTAGCCACCCTTCCTATCGATCTCTGCTGCAATACCATCTGGTTCAGGTGCTTTCCCTTGTTACATCTACCTGATTGCTGTTATGGTTTCACATAAGAAGGGGGCGCTAGAGCAAGTTTTCTTTTTAATGGCTGCTGTGAAAGAACATTAATTGATTTCTCAGAAATGTAAGAGTGATTAAGAAGCAAACTAAAATGTTCCATCCATCAGTCAAATATTTCTTTTTTGTCAATTAAGAGTCAATTGCTATCCAGTACGCATACAGGGATTATCCTATACACAGCATGGAGACCAGCAAAAAAGCTTTTGGTTTCTTTGCAGTCTGCTGTCAGTAATAATCTGCCACTTTCTTTTCCCACCACTGGTTTTTCATTTGCTGAAGTCTGGTCTGATCCACCTGTTTTGCTTGATGATATGAAGCCTTCCTAGCTGCTGAATCCTTGTTCACTATGTAGGCTCGATGGATAGCATGAAGTGAGTCCAACTGCTGACATATTCCAGGATCATTCTCACCAAACCAGTCCTGATGTTTCCTCTTAATGAAGCTGAGAACTTCAGCAGCCCTGTTATATGTTGTGTCCTGAAAATGTTTTGAGGCTGTCTCAACACCTACTGAGGCTTCTGTAATGCTAAAAATGCTTTCCTGGGTTTCTGTTAGAATTCAGATTGTTTGTCACAATTTTCCAGGCTTGAAATATTGATTTTTTTCACTCAGTTGAGTCATTGTCTATGTTGCTTGAAAGCAGTAAAGGGGACACCTGACTTCTCACAAGTCTATGCTATGACCAGCAGATCTCATGATGTGAGTGAGCTTGATATTGCAGAGATCTTAAATACTCAACTGCTGAAAAAATGAGTACTTAAAAATGGGCATGAAGAGAAAACAAAATGACACAAGAAACACAAATTTCAAAGGTTGGTAATGTAATAAAATATCAGAATCCCTCATGTGGATGCCCAGCTCTATGTTTAGACACCTAAGTGCCAACATGAATGCCCACATGTTGACTAGAACCCCCAGTTTGACACATACATACATAGATTCCATATGCATTCAGGGTGCTCTACTTTGGATCAAAATGAAGAACATCTTGAAACGTACGTTTTGCTCTTTCTTCCCTCCCCACCCGCCATCATATCAATATTTCTGTAATAAAACAAGGTTCTATTTGTTTCAGATAACTTTCACTGGTATTATGATGCTGCGGCCATAAAATGTACTGCTAATAATTTCACTGTATTTTGTATCTCACTTAATTCTTCACTAATGATCTGTCATTAAAGAATTTTAATTAACCCATGCTAATTAGTCTCATAGATCTACCCAGTGAATTTGAGTTTTTTCCAATATATCAACGCAGTAGGCCAGATTCTCTGCTACACTCTGGCCGTGTTGCACTGTATCACCAGCAGAACCTGTCCCTAAACCCTACGTAACTGGCCTAGAGAATATTATTCCCGTGTAAGGAACGTCTTCTCGTGGTACAGAGCCAGTATAAGAGCTCTTATGCCACTCCCCCTCCTTGCTACTGGCATAGCAGGAAAAAAAACACAGCGTGGCTAGAAGGGGGACATACCTGGGATGCCTGTGCCACGCCTCTGACCTTGGAGTGCATTTTGCTGCTGGGGGGAATAGCCCTGTACAGTCTGCACCAGGATCAGGGGACTGCAAAGCTATGCGGTAAGCCTCCCTTGTACACGCAGCTCTGACCTGCACTGTGTGAAGGTCAGCTGCATCCAAGCACCGAGTCATTCCACAGTACATTTTTCTCTTTTACCTACAGCAGAGTATATTATTTTTATGCTGTATCTCTCTTTTTTGTAGCTCCCTCAGTGCATATGCTGACATTTAGCAGTTCTGTTCACAGGACTGAACTGGCATTCAATCTGCCAGACCACAAACAAGGGATGTACCAATTTCAAAATCTTCCAGTTCACTGATAGCTCTTCTTCCTTGACAGATACATTTATTCCAGATTCCCCTTTTCTTAGCTTCTCCCTCAGGCAGCATATGACAACTTCTGTGATATTGAGTATGATCCTTGATGATAACAGCAGGATTTTTACGCTGCCCTTCAACAGATCTCCACTGGTGTTAGCTTATTTAGCTAGTGAAACATGCAAGTACATTCTCTCCTGCTACACTTTCTTCTTCTTCCACAGAAACTTTGCAGCAAATTCTATTATTCCTCAAACACACATTAATCAATTATTAAAACTTTTACATACCTGATGTTTATTTTATTCTATCAACTGCAATATATGACTTACACTTGTATTTTATCAACACTTAACTATTAGTTTACTCAGTTATGCATTAGTCCAAATGGCAGACAACATGTGAGGTGATGCGGCAGTGTTTAGCGCTCCTTAGCTATGTGCTTGTCATTATTGCTCTCCTCAAAAAGCTTTTTCTCCCTGGGGGAGCCCTAATACAATATTTAGCTTGAATCCTAATGTAGCTAGCTCCATTATAACTATGAACACAGACTCAAAGGCAACTGTAAGTAATGCAAAAATAGATCAATACTAATCTGAAATGTTGGTGTGTAATTCTAACAGAACTGTTACTTATTTCAATTGTAACATCCATCTTATGTTCTGATTGGCTGCTGTTACTGAATCATGCTAGTGACTTCAAGAGTGCTAAGTGCTACCATTCTTAAAGACAGAATAATGTTAAAGACCTTAAATAAGTAATATCACTTCAGTGTTGCTTACTCTTGCGGGGCTTAACTTTCTGAACCCATTTGGTGCTTTTGTTTTGCTTTGTTTATTCAAGTTTTCAAGTACAAATACATTTGTGAGAAATTAAAAAAAAAGTAAAAAAACATAAACAACTAACTGTGATTATTTTAAGTCTTAAGAGAAGCAAATTGTGTTCCTCTGCAACACCAGCTATGTCAATGGACAGTACAAATGCACATATATTTCTGTTACAAAATAAAAATGGACAACCATCATAAAATATTTATTGCTAAATTTTTTTTTAAAAATCCACTTTGAGCCTCAAATTCAATTATATTAAGAAAAAAAATCGGAGACTAAAAATCTTGGTATTTCTCTCTAAAATTTAGATTTTGCCATTTGAACAAGCCATGGGATCCATTTTAAAGGATTTTTTTAAAAAAGAAATTGGTGGAAGTTAAAATGCCTTAACATTCCCTCCACCCCATTTTTTCCTCCTAAGCACAGGCCTCCAAACACCCTCCAAGTTATTTGGAATCATTTCAGCTCATACTTACAGAAGTGAAATGTCAAAGAGCAACCTGGTTTTGGAGGCTTAAATAAATGTTAATTTGGGGAACTCCATTCTTTTCAACGTTCCATCAATAAATTTTGCTTATTAAAAATAGACAGATTACTGATGAAAATTGTAATAAGAAATATTAATTCTTATTAATACCATCAGCTCATAATTTTGTATAACATGGAAGCCCTTATGCTGCAGAGTTAGAGATCTCTTTCCACCTGTCAAATGATGGAATCCCCGTATTCTTGGTAATTGGCTACACACTAAGGTAAACAAGTCAGCTAATTCCAGAACATTGAACTGATTAACATCGGGTTGTATATACATATTTATACAGAGAGAATTCATAGTTTTCCATGCTGCTTTTGCTTCACTAACCAAAAATGGGTCTGATTTTAAAAATTAAAACTGCTTGGTTGCAGAACCATTCATTAAAGGCATGTAGAAAAAGTGGAAGTGTCCAAAAAGTATATTTAAAGCTGTATTATTTTGAAAAACAAAAGTATGGTGTAATACACACAATTGAGAAGAGCAGTATGGACTCTCTGTTCACCCAGTCCTCTCTGTTCTCTCAGAACTTGAGGCATCAGAACTCACTCTCCATTACAACTAGCCAAAAAAACATAGAAAGATTTTTCACAAAAAATAATCAAGATGTGTCCCCTGTTTTAGTCATCAAAAACATTGTTAATGAAAATGTTCTGACCAGATGTAATTTCACTCTTTGCCTCTTTAAACTCATGGCCTTTTGCCATGAGGAAGTATAGTTTTAAACATACTGAGCCAAATTTTGCTCTCCTTTACACCAGTGTAAACCTGGAGTGATTCCTTTGATGTTGATGGCGTTTCTTCAGATTTGCGCTGACTGGTATAAAAAGAGGAGAATTTGATTCATTAGATCCCACTTTCCACTGTTACATTTGTGGTATGCTCCCTTGTTTGCCTATAATTTTTTTTTTTTAAGTTAATGTTTTTAGTGTTCAGAGCCATATTCTCTGCTGGTATAAAAAGAAGTCGATGGAGCAGTGCCGGTTTACAGCAGCAAAGAATTTGGATCATAATTTTAAACACAAAAAAATCTTACATTTGTTCACAATGCAGGTTTCCTAGAGTGATAATATTAGCACTGTACCTTTAAAAAAAGGAGCAGAGGATCTGAGAGGGAAGGCAGGGAGTGAAGTAGCAAGGAAAGGTGCAAGGTCACTGCCCTGGGAGCTGTAGATGATGAAGAAAAACTTACTGTGAGAAGTTTTTTGGATGTCTTTTGCTCCAATACATGGGCAGGATCAGCAGAACAGAACTGTGATTTGAAATAAATAAAAAAAGTGTTTGCTTTGATTCAATTTGACCAGCTATCAGTAAAATTACATTATGGCTATTTGGACCCTCCACACTGAGACCCAAGAAATAGAAAGTATGGATTTGTATATTGGATCCAATTCTGCCCTCAGCTACATCTCTGAATTCCCACTGAAGTAAACTGGAGCTGGGTATGCAAATCTCATGGCTGAATTTGCCCTCTGTTGTATATTAAGGTTCTGCATATATTTAGCAGTATAACTGGCCACCAAAAATTACTTTGTGGGCTCAGTCTTCAAATGTGCTCAATATGCTGAGTGGGTCAGGGGACACCAAAAGGGCTTATGCAGGAACCATATCCTGGTGCCAGTTCTACACCAACTCTGGCATATTTTAGAACAGCCTTATGTTGACTGACTATGGCAATGCAGCTGGGAACAGCCACATCACAGTGGAGAGTGACCCTTTGTTCCCAACCCAGCACATTCCAGTTACATTGGTTTTCCTGACACTTGTCATTGTTATATGGGCCCTTTATGTCTAATATGGCAAGTTGAGGTTACAATGAGACTTTTGTATTTCCTTACTTGGGAGTATTTAAAACTGCAACCTTAACCTTACATTAACAGTTTTCACTGGAGGTCATTGTGTCCTATCCAAATATTGACCCAGCCCAACCTGGCTTAATTAGTAAGATCAAACAGCATGGGTTGCTATTGCTGTGGGTATAAACTGTTGAAGTCCTTAAAGATATAAAAAAATTAAAATGGTGTGCAGTGTTTTCTAGTTCCTGAATTAGCAAATCAACAGAGGAAAAGACTTATGCTTATGTACAGCAATTCAGCTTGAGTATGAAAACATTAATTATTTACTGTAATATGCTGATTTATAATTATGAAATCAGTAATTTAATTGGCATCTAGTGCAATAAAAACATTCCCAATGTCATTATCTAAGTGCTGATGCTTGATGCTTTCAAACTCAGCTGAACTGTCAAAAACACTTTTGTTAAATCTTTGTACCTGCTAAACTGACAACTATGAGGGAAAAAAGCTGAAAAAGTGCTATTATACAACAGCTGGAGATGTTGTCTTTACATTTCAACCAAACTGATGCAGTTCACTGTTGGTCACCAGGCATATGTCTTACTGCTGACAGAAATAGTGAATGTACCTATAATTAAAACACATATTCCTGGCAAACAGAAACTGCCATCATGAATTACATTAAAAGTGATTTGTATGGTGGTTACTGATTATGCCAGTCTGACTGACACAGCTTTCTCCCTAGACGCAAGAACAGGATTGTGTGCTGGTGAGCATGTTTGTGTGGGTGCACTCGCGGGTGCATGATGGGAGGTGTGAGTTCCAGTTTAATGTAAGGCTACACAGGAGAAGATGGGGAATAGCTATTTAACAGAATCAGAGCTAAGCAGTACAAAAGATAGGATCAGCAGAGCCAACTCAATCTATTTGGGTTAGCGTAAAAAGCGTGCTGCAAGCAGGGCTCTGGCTTTATGCCTGCTGCTGCCTGAGCTCCAAATTACAGCTGGAACAGTAGGAAGTTCTTAGATCTTCTAGCCCCAGGTGAAGAGGTCTGATCTTCAAAGTAGTAGCCATGCAAAGGGAGGTGTATCAGAATAACCTTACAGCTGTTAGTTGAACAATAATCAGCATGAGTAAGACTTCATTTTGAAAAATCATCCGATGGAAGGAGGTGAGTTATAAACTGATAAACTGGCTTAGACTGGGGGGGAAGAAAAACAAAAGTACTGAATTTAATAATCACTCTAGTTTATTAAGCCTACTTAAGCCTACTCTGGTCTACTCAGAGATTTTGGTCCAGTATAATTATTTTGAATAAGAGTGTGATAGCATGGACACAGTAATATGAGTACAAAGATGCCGTCTACTCTACAGAAATTAGCTACTTGGATTGTAAAAGTAGTACAAATTATGGGTATCAGCAAGGCCTTAGTCTTTGATGACAGAGAGAAAATCAATTCAATATGTAAAAGAAAAGTCTGTAAATTTGATATCAAAACATTTTCTGTTAGAAACTATTAATTAAAGCTAGTCCTGGAAATTCAAATGAATGAAGTGATGTTAAGAACTCCTCAGACTTATTTTAAAAGTCCCTGCAGCCATACTTGAGGCTTGTCAACACTTAAAATGCTTCAGCGGCATAGGGAAAGATTAAGAATGACCTCTCAAAACTGGATACTCTCATAAAAAAACACACAAACTTCCTCGTGGCTGGACTTTACAAAAACTAGACAAGCCATTTACAACACACACTTCGCTTCTCTACAAAAGAAAAAGGACACTAAACTATCTAAACTACTACATGCCACAAGGAGCCACAACAGTGGTTCCCTTAACCCACACAGCAATATTGTTAATCTATCCAACTATACTCTTAGCCCAGCAGAGGAATCTGTCCTATCTTGGGGCCTCTCCTTCTGCCCCTCCATCCCCACGAACATGATACAGTTCTGTGGTGACCTAGAATCCTATTTTCGATGTCTCCGACTCAAGGAATATTTCCAACACACCTCTGAACAACATACTAACCCACAGAGACCTTCCTACCAAAACTACAAAAAGAAGGATTCTGGGTGGACTCCTCCTGAAGGTCGAAACAACAGACTGGACTTCTACATAAAATGCTTCCGCCGACGTGCACGGGCTGAAATTGTGGAAAAGCAGCATCACTTGCCCCATAACCTCAGCCGTGCAGAACACAATGCCATCCACAGCCTCAGAAACAACTCTGACATCATAATCAAAAAGGCTGACAAAGGAGGTGCTGTCGTCATCATGAATAGGTCGGAATATGAACAAGAGGCTGGTAGGCAGCTCTCCAACACCACTTTCTACAAGCCATTACCATCTGATCCCACTGAGGGTAACCAAAAGAAACTACACCGTCTGCTCAACAAACTCCCTGAAAAAGCACAAGAACAAATCCGCACAGACACACCCCTGAAACCCCGACCAGGGGTATTCTATCTGCTACTCAAGATCCATAAACCTGGAAATCCTGGATGCCCCATCATCTCAGGCATTGGCACCCTGACAGCAGGATTGTCTGGCTATGTAGACTCCCTCCTCAGCCCTATGCTACCAGCACTCCCACCTATCTTCGAGACACCACTGACTTCCTGAGGACTTCCTACAATCCATCGGTGATCTTCCTGAAAACACCATCCTAGCCACTATGGATGTAGAAGCCTTCTACACCAACATTCCACACAAAGATGGACTACAAGCCGTCAGGAACAGTATCCCCGATAATGTCACGGCAAACCTGGTGGCTGAACTTTGTGACTGTCCTCACCCATAACTATTTCACACTTGGGGACAATGTATACCTTCAAATCAGTGGCACTGCTATGGGTACCCGCATGGCCCCACAGTACGCCAACATTTTTATGGCTGACTTAGAACAACGCTTCCTCAGCTCTCATCCCCTAATGCCCCTACTCTACTTGCGCTACATTGATGACCTCTTCATCATCTGGACCCATGGAAAAGAAGCCCTTGAGGCATTCCACCATGATTTCAACAATTTCCATCCCACCATCAACCTCAGCCTGGACCAGTCCACACAAGAGATCCACTTCCTGGACACTACGGTGCTAATAAGCGATGGTCACATAAACACCACCCTATACCAGAAACCTACTGACTGCTATGCCTACCTATATGCCTCCAGCTTTCATCCAGACCACACCACATGATCCATTGTCTACAGCCAAGCTCTACGATAGAACCGCATTTGCTCCAACCCCTCAGACAGAGACAAACACCTACAAGATCTCTATCAAGTGTTCTTACAACTACAATACCCACCTGCTGAAGTGAAGAAACAGATTGACAGAGCTAGAAGAGTACCCAGAAGTTACCTACTACAAGACAGGCCCAACAAAGAAAATAACAGAAACGCCACTAGCCATCACCTTCAGCCCCCAACTAAAACTTTTCCAACGCATCATCAAGGATCTACAACTTATCCAGAAGGACAACCCATCACTCTCACAGATCTTGGGAGACAGGCCAGTCCTTGCTTACAGACAGCCCCCCAAACTGAAGCAAATACTCACCAGCAACCACACACCACACAACAAAAACACTAACCCAGGAATCTATCCTTGCAACGAAGCCCGTTGCCAACTCTGTCCACATATCTATTCAGGGGACACCATCATAGGGCCTAATCACATCAGCCACACTATCAGAGGCTCATTCACTTGCACATCTACCAATGTGATATATGCCATTGTAAAGGTTCCTCCCCCACTCTGAACTCTAGGGTACAGATGTGGGGACCTGCATGAAAACCTCCTAAGCTTACTTTTACCAGCTTAGGTTAAAACTTCCCCAAGGTACAAATTAATTTTATCCTTTGTCGTTGGAATAACCCCTGCCACCACCAAACTCTAACTGGGTTTACTGGGAAACGTAGTTTGGACATGTTTTTCCCCCCAAAATCCTCCCAACCCTTGCACCTCACTTCCTGGGAAAGGTTTGGTAAAAATCCTCACCAATTTGCATAGGTGACCACAGACCCAAACTCTTGGATCCGAGAACAATGAAAAAGCATTCAGTTTTCTTACAAGAAGACTTTTAATAGAAATAGAAGTAAATAGGAGTAAAGGAATCACCCCTGTAAAATCAGGATGGTAGCTACCTTACAGGGTAATTAGATTCAAAACATAGAGAATCCCTCTAGGCAAAACCTTAAGTTACAAAAAAGACACACAGACAGAAATAGTCATTCTATTCAGCACAATTCTTTTCTCAGCCATTTAAAGAAATCATAATCTAATGCATACCTAGCCAGATTACTTACTAAAAGTTCTAAGACTCCATTCCTGTTCTACCCCCGGCAAAAGCAGCATACCAACAGACACAGACCCTTTGTTTCTCTCCCTCCTCCCAGCTTTTGAAAGTATCTTGTCTCCTCATTGGTCATTTTGGTCAGGTGCCAGCGAGGTTA